CTATTTTTTCATGGTTAACAGTAAAGTCGTGCAATTCTTCTGCAGTCATGATGTTTGTTTTCTTCATGCTCAGCTGCACTCTGGGTTTGCACTTTCTTCTTTCACTTTCATCAAAGGTTGTTTTAATTCATTGCTGCTTTCTGCCAGTAAGATGGTATCATCTGCATATTGTATATTCTTGATGTTTTGCCCACCAATTTTTACTCCTACTTCTGATCCTAATCCAGCTTTTCTCATGATATATTCTACATACCAACTGAACAGATAGAGAGATAATATGTACCCTGGTCTGACTCTGTTGCTTATAGGAAACCATTCTGTTTCTCCATATGCAGTGCTCACAGTAGCTTCTTTTCTATAAACAGGTTGTACATAAGGGAAATCAAGTGCAGAGGCACGCCATTTTCTTTCAGGACCATCCATGGCTTCTCATGATTCACACAGTCAAAGACTTTGTTGGAATATATAAAGCAGCGACTGATCTTCTAAAATTGTTTTCTGTGCTTTGTTTGCAATATGTTTTTGAATTCTTCCTTTTCAGAACCCAGCATGGGACATTTCTTGTATCATGCAGGGCAATGTTCTTTGCTGCAACACTTTGACCATCACTTTCCTTACATGGAAAATTAGTGCTATGATCCTATACTTGCTACATTCCTTGGCATTAGATTTCTTCTTCAGCATCTGTTACTGGAGTATAGACTTGAATGTTGATAAGTTTTTCTATTCTGATTGATATCACTTGTTTGGACATTGCATTATAGCCCCTTACTGCACATTCCACACCTTGCTTCAGTGTTTGAACCCCTCCATTTCCTCTGCATTTGTCATTTCCAGAGTAAAATATTTTGTATTTGTCTGACTGAAAATATTTATTTATTATTTATTAAAAAATTTCTATGCCACCCCATTCGCCGAAGCCTCGGGGCAGCTTACAACATCAGTTAAAATATAAAACACTAAAAATATAAAACATATTAGCATTATAAAATAAGTCGCCCTGGCCGAAGAATTAAGCAAATAATATTAGCAATTAAAATGACGTTTGAATAAAAAGGTCTTTGCCTGGCGCCGAAAAACAAATAACAACGGTGCCAGGCGGACCTCTCTGGGGAGCGCATTCCATAGATTGGGCACCACCGCTGAGAAAGCCCTCCTCCAAGTACCTACCTTCCTAATTTCCTTCACGGAGGGTTCCCGGAGAAGGGCCTCTCCCGCAGATCTCAGGGGGCGGGTGGGCGTATATGGACGTAAGCGCTCCTTCCGGTAGCCAGGACCCAAGCCGTTTAGGGCTTTATAGGTCATCACTAACACCTTGAATTGGGCCCGGACTTCAGTGGGAAGCCAGTGAAGCTGACGGAGGACTGGAGGACTAAATATCCCATTTAGTTCACTTTAGTTCACACTCACCAACTACTGTGATGCTTATCCATTCTATTTCTTGCTTGGCAGTGTCCAGTTTGCCTTGATTCATACTTCTCACATTCTATTTTCTAATTGCATGTGTTGTGCAGCATCAGACTTTCCTTTCCCCCCTGTGCATGTCTTACTAGACTTACTTTCAGCTTTGATCTAGTTGTATCATTAGCAACAGTGCTATTCATACATGTCCTTTGCTCTTCTCCTGGTAGTTGACTGCTTTCCAACCTGGGAGTCTAATCTTCTAGTAGTATTTCTTGTTTCATTTTGCATTGTTTTGCCATAGAGTTTTCAAGTAAGCAAATTCAGACATGGTTTATCTTTGCCTTCCTCTGTGCCACAATTATCAGTTTTAGGTCAAGCATCACTGGCATTTTCTGCAAAAGATGCTCTACCTGTGCCTCCTACAACTACTACCATGGGCTAGTAGCCACCCTTCTGAAGTTTCTCTGCACCCATCACCATCAGATATCCATTCTCTTCTGCTAATATGGCATTCCTCCTGAATAGGGTGGATGCATCTCTGTTGGTGTCCCTGCTTTGACCATTCCCCCTTGGATGACTGAGCTAGAAAACCAGAAAAGTGAGACAGCCTGGCCTACAGGCAGCATTGCTCTTTGACACTCTCAGACTACAGCACCAGATTAAGGTGTGTATCCAAGAGCAGGCCTCATTTTTATATTGCCCAATAACTGAAGTTCTATCGGTGCAGGAGTTCAGGACAGATAAAACCAAATACTTCTTCACACTTTGGCTGTGTTTACACCCATTGCTAAGGAATGCCTCAAAGTTACCTTTTTTACCTTGTGTCCTGTGTTCACACATTCATGAGGTAACTATTCAAGAGTAGTTTCCCCTAGCCTCCAAAGGGCTGCATGTATCCCATCAGCCCCCAGTGTGCACTGCTCCCACTGCATTGCCTCCCTCTCCCCTACATTGGCCCACTTGCTCCCCTGGGCCAGCAGCCGTGTCATTTTCCTGCTGCTCAGCAGAGCCCCCTGTCTACTCATTCGAGTAGGACACTTCCTGCCCATGCATAAGCACACACCCACACATCTCCCTGCCTCACCTCACATGTGCCTCATACCCGCTCCACACGTTGCTGGGGTTGCCTCTCCCCGGCAGCCCAGCGCAAAGAGGGCAGCAGCCAGGGACAGAGGGAGCATGCCCAGGTGGTGAGGTCCCGTGCTGCCTGCGTGCCACTTCCGTTCAGGGCAACAATCACGTAGGAGCTCCACGCCTGTGGCTGCTACTGCTGGAGGTACTCCTGTCCTCCTTTCCAGTCTGTGCTCCCTGAGGCTTGGCTGCCATGCCCCCTCACCCCTTCGCTTCTTGCTGCCTGTGCCAGACTGGCGAGGGCTGTAAAGCTACTAGCCAGAGAGGGGTGCCCACCTTGTGAGGCGTCTGCACAAGGCTGGCATGGTGACAAAGAGGGGAAACGTAGTGAGTGCGTAAAGCACTTTCATAACATTAAAATATTGTTCCAAGGCATGGATTCTTGTGATTTTTACAGGGGAAAGCCCACAAAACACCATCTAATAACAAAACACTTTTTCCCATGTTTTGAAATATGAAAATCCTGGATCTGCCAGAAAGTTGAAACTTTCACAATGCAAACGCATGGACCTGAGGCACTGTTCCTCCTGCATCCATATGATTTTCACTCACAGATTGCCCAGACAACCAAATCACAAAACACATCTGCTTCCCGATACTGAATATTGAAATTCATGAATCTGGTGTTTGTTGGCACTGCCATAGTGCAAAAATCATGGATCAGAGTGCTGACTCCCCATGATTTTTACAGGGAAATTCCCCCAGATCACTGTCCAATCACAAAACAGATCAGCCTCCTCCGAATAAAATCATTAGTATTATTATTTCATTTCTATACTGTATTCTTTGGGAGTAGGTGTTCCTATGCAACAGTGACAGGTATATAAGGAATGGATCCTTATGAATCACTGTGATTTTTACACTGGACACCTCAATTCAAATGCTAATTCACAGTTTACACCCTTCTCGCTGTAGTGCGCCAGGACAATTAGCATGGATTCAGCATGCTATGCCACACCACAGCACTAAAGTTTTGTCAGAAGCAGGGCCCTCATGATTCCTGCAGAAAAGCCCCACCATATAATCATGGATCACAGTTGAGAGGACAGATCCTGATAGAATGAAAATAAATCCAATGATGTTCTGTGACTCTCCAATAATATAAAAACCTATTTCTGATGCACAAGCTCTAATGAATCCTCGTGGGTTCTAGAGGCAGCCCATCATCTAATTATGGGTCACATCTGCCTGCAGGTAATCCAACAGCAGGAGAGATGTAAGGATTTTACTGAATCCTTTCTGAATGTGTTGCATGGATAGTGAGGCAGCTTTCCTTCCATCATCTGCTCAGTTGACAAAATAGGATTTTGATCCAGAATTTTCTTCCACTTGTGCAAAGGCAGATTCATCCATGCCTGGATGAAAGAGCCATGATTGTTGTGATGTGCTCTGTGATTGGGTGGTCACCTGAAGGATTTTCTGTGTAAAAATAATGAGAACCTCTACCTCAGATCCAGATTTTCATGCTATTTTCATGCTATAGCATTTCTTAGAAATGCTAATTGTTTACCTGTCCTGAAAGTTCTCTTTCTATTGTGTTTAAGCCTACTTTTTTACCCTAACACACCTCTAGCATATTGTGTATGTGATTCCCCACATGATCTCCCACCCCTTCCAAACTTTGTATGTAAAACTGCTAGGTTAAAAATGCATCCTGTACAGACTTTGTAGTCCCTTTTGAGACTGCATACATGCTGCATTTATTACCTATATGCCTAATTAAATAGTTAATGCTCTTTTGATCGTATACCCCCAAAGAACTCTCTTTGAGTCTTTTTTCCCACTTTTGCCACACAGTTAACTTTTAACCTTAGCTTTAATATTGCATTTCATCCTGTACTGCAGTTATGCTGTGTTGCTTATGCTGCAATTGCTATGTCTTTTTTGTGTGCTAACTTTTGTTAGCTGCCCAGACAGCCTTCACTATTGAACAGTATAAAAATAAAATAAAAAATATGGTTTGATAATGTTCCATAACATTATTGTTACTGTTACAAGTTTCTACTTAACACCTAATCAATGATTAATATTGCAGGAGCAGAGGCTAAGTCCTCTTTTATCTTCTAAGTCAAAAATCTCCCACAAAAAGTACCACATGGGTTGCAGCAAAGGTCACGCCAGATTCTTTTGGCCTACACTTCTAATCGTCCCAGCCACTCAAAAAGATGATGGAATTTGTAGGCCAAAGTATTTGGACGGCTGCAAGTTGCCCTCCTCCCTTTTAGACTCCCTATAGTGCTTAAGGACAGCTACATTGAACCCTTAAGTTTTGCGGAGTTCTATAGGGATTTCTCTTCTCTTTTTATGGTCCTCTTTCCTTGAGAGAGACATTAAAAATAGATTCACAACGTGACCAGGAAATGACCTATAGAGACGGAGGGGTGGGGTGGGACTTCTGCTCAGCGATCGGTCAAATTATATCGCTCTATTTTCTATTAGGTGATCCACGCTGAGGCTGCGGTAGGATAGCGCATGCGCGCAGAAGAGCGCCTGCTGGCCCGGACGGGGTATGATTCAAGATGGCAGCGCCCTGCGCTTTCGAGCTGTGGCTGGAGAAACGTCTGGAAGCGCTGGGTCTAGATGCGGACGTGTACGGTGGATACATACGAGGCGTCTTGCGGGAGGCGGAGTGTGACGCAGAGCGGCTGGAAGGGCTGATGGGGGCTTTGGCAGCGGGGGAATCGGTAAGTGTGACAGCGCCTGCGGAATTGGCCCTGGCCGGCATCCGTACGCGGCTCTCTCCTTTCTTTTCCCGCACGCCATTGCAGCACGAGGGGGCTGAGGAGCGAGCCAGGCGTGGAATCCGAATTATTATACTGCATTGTTGTTGTCCGTGCTTATTTCTTTGAGTGCATCCCTACCGCACACAGCTAGGTCTAAGAAGTTAGCCGGTGGCTGGGGCAATCATCTCCCCTTTCTTATAAATGCTCTGATAAAGATTACAGCCAGCACGTCCCGATGCAGCGAGGCTGTTGCTGTTTTGAATCTCGTTTCTGTCACCTTAGGCAAGCCTCTCTCTCATTTCCTCCCACCCTTGTATTGCGGTTATGGGTGGCTGGTCATGTTCTTCCACTTTGCAGGATTGTTGTAAGAATTTCAATAAAATTACTGAAGACGATGGTGGAACACGGACAGCACAAACCTATACATGACTGAAGTAGGTCCCAAGGAGTTAATATAACTTTCTTTAAAAAAGATGTGCATGGGATTGCAACCTTAGTTAGTGCCTGACAAAGATAGGCTCTGATGTTTTGACTGCTTAATAAGGGTAATTACTGTTACAGCCTAAAAATGTGCTCCTTCGTCTATTTTCCATTCCTTAAAAAAGAAATATGCGAAGAGCATGTTCTTTGCAGCAACATGTTTTACAGATTGGATTGGTACACAGTGGGATCCACCTCTACCTGGTGTACTATAAATACTAACTTTTGTCCCCAGGTACATCCTTATGTCAAGAAAAGCTGTTCATAAATTTTATCTCTTCCATTCATCAGCCTAGAACAGATTTTATATTATTAGAAACCATCCTAGTTTTTAGATAGCTTGTTTTGAGGTGTTTTTTATTGCATGAATTGATTTTATCACTAAATGGTCAAGCACCATAACCAATGAGCATTAAAGACATCTTGTTTGTGGAGTATCTGTACCAGTCAAAAACATAGACATACCCTTAAATATTGACTCTCTCATAAATTTAAAACAATTTGGCTTTCCTGAACCAAGCTTTTGAACTATTTCTTTCATTAAATTTTAGTAGGTGATGTGATAAAATTTGTCAGGAGGGCAATGGAGAGGCTACATTTGACCTTCAAGCCTCTAATTGGTCATCCCTACTTATAGAGCATCCTCATAAAAGCAGTGAAGAGCTGTGACCTGATGATTGAAAAGCCTTTTTTTTCCAACTGCAAAGTCTTTGTTTTCTTAATCAGGATGAAGAAATTCTACAAGAAGTTTGCAAGGAAATAGTTGAAAGGTGGTCAGAGACCCAAAATACTGGAACAAATGAAAAAAAAGAAGGTATTTCATGCCAGTTCTTTTGAAATCACCAGAGTAGCTGTTGGGTGCTTTCTGTGTGACTTTCTACTTCCTTATCTAAAACGTTATAGATTTTTCTCCCCTCATTATATCTTGCTTTCAGTGTTTCATTCCCTGTATATTTTCTACAGTTGATCTCTGATCTGCTTCCTGGAACTGCAGTATTTTAGAAAATTATAAACAGTATTTTTATATAATGCCATCAGTGTGCATGACTCTTACAGAGCTGCAACCCAGAAGACCACCGAAGGAACTTAGATTCTTCAACCTTATATAGAATAGGTAGCAGAGGTAGGAGGCAGCCAGGGTAAAACAAACAGAATTTGTTTACATGTACTTAGGTTTTGTTTCAATTGGGGGTGAAGTCTAAAATGTTAAGTCTAAGGTTTTAAGGAAGATGTGGGCTTTGAAGAGGCGACTGGCATAAGATTGCTGTGACTTGGCTGTTCTGGAAGGGAGTTCCAGCACAAGGAATGAGAGATAGAGATCAGGCAGAAGGGAGCGGGATGACTGCGGGTAGTTGTCCTGGAAGAATGCAGGGCAAGAACATAATGGTTGTGAGGACATGAAAAGTAGGAAGAGCCAGGTATTAATTGCTTAATTAATTAATTACGTTTTATCCCGTCTGCTACCAAGGTCTCAGGATGGTCTTACAGGTTCTTCTGGACCAAAAGCTATCTATGGAGTTATAGATGGAGAAAGCGGACCTGCCTTTATTTACCTTGTCCTTGATTATATCTAGGCTACATTGTCATAAAGATAATTATGATAAAGATAGTTGTCCGCAAAAGAAGGTGCCGCATGGTGAATTGCTTCCTATTTTAACATATGAAACCTAAGGAGGTATTAAGGTACTAGGCTGATGTTTAAACATATCAGTTTAAGAATTCCTATTCTTTGCAATACATATAGGGCTGTATTATGTTTAAATATAAAAAAGTAAAAAGAAGAAAGTGCTCCGACCTTGAGGATGCAATTCTATGCATACTTAGTAAAAGTCTACCAGCTCCAAGCATGTTAGCTGTGGTATGCTGAGCGTTTTTGATTTTAGCCCTGCCTAAACATGCATAGAATTGCATCTTAAATCATTCGGGCCTGAACTTCTTTCTTTTACAATCTGCATTCAGTTCAGAGCCGGTTCTTGGTGGTACCCTTCATATACTATCAAAGATTACAAGTTATTACATTTTTTTTAGACAAAGAATTCAGCAAGTAGGGATAAGTTGGAGTAATTTCTTTATGGGGCTTATAATATTTCATTGTTTTGCTGTTGATCCTAAAGGTTATTCACCTTGAGCCCTGGGCTCAATATGACACTGTGCCCCACCCGTAGGCACATGCAAATTGGCCTGAGCTGCCTCAGGTGCAGCAAAGCCAAGATGTTGTGACTTGAATAGAATGCACATTGCGTCTGCAGATGGAGGGACACAGACTTCTCTTATTTGCTTTGTCCTCTTCCCTCCCCAGATGAAGTCCAAGCTATTACTAACATTATTGAAAAACAGGCACAAATTGTGATGAAGCCCAAGGAGGTATCAAAGGAAGAGACACTACAAAAAGCTGCCCTCCTGGCACAGTATGCTGAGGTGACAGATGAGGAAGAATATCCTTTCTGTATTGCAAGTTCTGAAATTCTTCTGGGATGTCTCTATGGTTGGCTGGCCCAGTGACTCAAGTCCTGGAGTACATGGGTTCCCTGTTTTGCTAATTGTCTGCAGTGACCCTGCGTGCAGATAGATTGCTATGGGCATGTGTTTTAATAGGTAAACCCTGTCCCTTGAAGGACTTTCAGCCTCTGAACACAAGAGAGGGTTAAAGCTAAAGGTTATGAGGGATAAATAAAATTCTGGAGCTGTCCCTTAGATCAGAAAATAGTACACTTGTATTACTCCATTAGCTAAATAATAGGTTTCATCTTCACACATATGTGTTTACATTAGCAAGCCATGGTTGCTGCATATTCATTTGTGAGGACAGCTAAAATAAAGTAATAGGAAGATAATTACAGTGGTACCTCGGCTCATGAATGCCTCAGTTCACAACCAAATTGGGTCGCGAACAAAAATTTCATTAAAAAATTGACTCAGGTCGTGAACTCCACATTGGGTGGCAACTGCGATTACGGCCATCACCCCCCCCCCCCCCAAGTGGGGAGATGGCCGCAATCATGCTGGGGGTGGTGGGGAGATGGCCGAGATCACACCTATCTTCTCTGCACGAGTGTGCCCATGATTGCACTGGTCTTTCCTGCAGGAGTGCAACCGCGATCTCGGCCATCTCTCCCCCCAGCACGATTGCGCCCGTCTACTCCCCCCAGCGCGCCTGCATTCGCGTCCGTGTCCCCTCCCAGCATGCACGCATTTTTGCCCATCTCTCCCCCAGCGCTACTACGATCTCATCCATCTCCCCTCCCAGCACGATCGTGCCCCTCTCCCCCCCCCCCCCCGGCCCCCGGGGGGGTGCCTGCATATAGGGGCGGGGGGCCCGATCCCGTTCAAACGGGGGGGGGGGGCGGGGAGATGTCCGTGCTCGGGGTGGGGGGAGATGGCTGCAATCTTTGTTGTTCTTTGTCACTTTGCTTCACATTTTTCTGATTAAGAAAAAATAGTTACCAAATGGATTAACCTTATTTACATTGAACCTTAAGGGGAAATTTAACTTGGCTCATGATCAATTTGGGTCACGACCAGAGTCCTGGAACGAATTAAGTTTGTGAGCCAAGGTACCACTGTAACTTAGGAAATAACTTGCTTCAAAATGTTATGAAAGGCACTGGTAGGGATGGCTTTTAAAACAGACTAGGGATACTTACGGAAGACAATTGTATTGTCTTATCTGTGATAGATAATTCAAGAGGCTGGCTGTAATCCAAATGTCAGATGCTAGGAACAAGTACAGGTTGGGTATCTTCATCTTTCCCACCTTGTAATAGCAAATGGAGTACAGAAAAGCTGCAAATGAGTCTTCAGAGTATTCTGGCCTTTGGAAGAATGGAACTTTAGTGTTCTGTGTTAGCTTCAGTCTTTTTCTAGAGCCTGTATTCATGCTTCTTTTACTTATCCTTCCCACTCCTTATTCTGAATAGCCAAATCTCTTTAACTCAACATACTGAAATAGATGCGCAAGATGACCGTGGAGCAGCAGCAGTGACTGCCACCTCTGAAAAATGTATCCTTTCAGAGAAAGTCTTTTGAGGCCACCATTGGTCAAGTAATACGAAGGCTGGAATGTTGACTTGTTTGAGAGTAATGACTGTTTGGTAGAATTTTAGTATAGTAGATGATAGGTTTAGGATCTTGAGACGGTTAGGTAGAAGTGTAATTGTCCTGTTTGCTTCTTGTTTGCAAGTTCTAGGTTGTGAGTATAGCCTTGTTTTATATGCATTGCTGTAGGAAAGATTTATTTGGCAATTTGGAGCTGGTCTAACTTTGCTTCATGTCTTGCTAAAGAAATAACTTTTATCTCATGGAAGCTGGTCATGAATTATATAGGGTTCTTATAATTATAATTATGTTCTTATAATTATAATTATTATAATTATATGGGTTCTTATAATTAGAATTGCTGTCCAGAGTCTCTTTGAATTTCTTCTCAGAACATACTTTGTAGTTTGAGGTAAAGTCACTGTTTTCATTGTACATTTGAGGAAGGTGGGTCTGAGTTGGATATTAAATACAGGAACACCAGGTCCACATCTTTTTCCAGTGTGGCATATTGTATTTGAATCCTTACATCTCGCTATACTGGTCAGATGGCTTGAGGATTCTGATGTAGGGAAAATGGCAGTGTTGAGGTGAATTGAGAATGATTTGTGAGGGAGGGGGAAGGAGACAGAGTAAAGAAAATATTTCCATGTTCTCCTCAGCTCCTTTTCCAGCTTTGTTCAAAAACACAAACCTAGAAGATGTTATCAATGCTCGGAAGCTGGAGAGGGAGCATCTGCGTGATGAGTCACAGCGGAAGAAGGAGCAAGACAAGCTTCAGCGGGAGAAGGACAAGTTAACTAAGCAAGAACGTAAGGAGAAAGAAAAGAAGAGAACACAGAAAGGCGAGAGGAAACGATAGTTGGGAACAACTATAGGACTTTTTTCCTCTCTTCTCTTCCCCTTCCCCCTGCAGAGACAATTTACGCACATTATACTCAGCAGAAGGCATCCCTTTTTGAACACTTCAGGAGTTGTTTTTAAATCAGCAACAACTCCTAGGCAAAGGTTTCCAGGGGATTGCATTCAAGCCCACTTGAAGCAGTGAACGAAAATTGTGTATACACATCTTCTTGCCCAACTGTTGGGCTGAGTGGTGCCCGATCCCTGTAATGAAATAACTATATGGTGGTTTCTTCTTGTTGTCACTTTATTAATCACATAAGGGTAAACTAAAATTGAGGAAGAGTATCTAAAATTCCTCTGCATATTCACTAAAGGTTGCTTTTGGTTGGTGAAACTGAACAAAATGCAGTTACCCATATATCTAAGCCAAGGAAGGTTAATACCCTTAGCCAGTACCCTGCTTAACTTCACTTTAATGATTTGCAACTGAAAGTGCTCCAAAGTTATTTCTCCTGGTTGGAGGTTGGTTAGTGTAATTTCAATAAGGCTGTATTATTGGCATTTAAGTAAAGTTCCATGAATTTAATTAGGCTGAGATGTGTTTGAATCCTTGGCTCATGCAGCTCTTAATCTATTGTGCTTGTTGGCAGTGCAACCTCTTGACACTGTGTGAGTTGAAGTGGAGGAACAGATTGTTCAAATTACCAAGAGACAAATATTAGCACCAAATGGTAAAAAGTGTCCCTTCAGCAATTTGCCACCTAAAGTGCCCCAGTCACTCTGCTGCATGGTAGTCCCATCTAACCTGTTGAAGTCTTGTCTTAAACTCATTAACCAACTCATTAACCGCCTTGAATTCAGAGGTGCTGTACAGGATGCAATATGAGGCAACCCCTTCTTGCTGTAGGACAGGGTGCTATTCTTTCCATTGTATATACCTTTCCCATGAGTATGATACCGCTTGTTTACATATTGTTGCTGAGAAGCTCAGCTATACTGACTTACACACATTTGCATAAGCATCACCCTAACACCTTGACAAATATATAAGTAAATATTTACCTACCAAGTTGCCACCACATCAAACCGACTTGAATTGGTCAGTAAGCCTTTTGCAGGAAACTTTCTCCAATCCTGAAGGGCCCCTACATCTGGGAAGGTCACTAAATGTTGATAATTGTTAGGTGAAAATACCACTAAGTTATTTTCATAGCATCCTTCATTCTAGGGACTCACACCTAGTTGTCCTTTTGAAAGCATGGCCTTTATAATATCTAATTGATTAGCCTAAATTCACTTACTGAACCAGGAGCCCATGGCAACAAGCCACGGTGCTTTTAGACAATATGACAAGTCATGCTGTTGAAGGAAGTTATGCTAATCCCTCTGCCCTGCAGAAAGTGGGCAACAAGACAATATGGCGGTTTACAAACCACCCTGCAGTCATGCAGGCCAAATCCTTCTCTCATTTATGGAATTTTACACAGGGTTTAGACATCATCTTCTACTTGTAATCTTTCAGGGGTTACCCACAGGTTTTTCAGTCTTATTTCTACCCCGTCCTTTGCCCAGGCTTCAGGACAGCTTACAAAAAATCAAAGTCTTATGTCACTTCCATTACAGAAAGTGGAACAATGTGTTCATTTATTCATTACGTTCCTCTACTGCCCAATACCAAAGCTCTCTGGACAGTTCACACATTTAAGAACCTAAAGCACATGATAAAACATAACATAAAACCTTTAGCATACAAAAATTTAAAGCAGCTTAAAACAGGTAGAACAATTAAATCCAAGACCCGTTAAATGACTAATATTGAAAAGCCTCATCAATGCCTGGGAGTAAAGTCTTGGCACAAAATAAGGTGACAATGTGGACCAGGCGGACTTGATTTGAGAAAGCATTCCACCAAGGGGGAGGGGACATCACTGAAGCTGTCTCCTTTTGTTGCTATCCACTGAACCTCCCTTGGAGGAGGGCTTGTACTGTTTGTTGTAGCATATGGGTTGGTTTATACTGGAAGAGGTGCTCTGTCAAGTACTTTGCTCCTAAGCTTTCCAAGGTTATGCAACAGTTGCACAACACCCTCTAAAATTTCACACTAGGAACACTCCTTCTGAAAGCAGCTGTTTGATGGTCAAGATTCCTCTCTGCATATGCTACCTCACTGCATTGTTGATCAAGGTAAAGCTATTTTCCCTGTGACGCACCCTTTAGCAAATGTCCACTTCAGTGATGCTGCCCAACACTGGGAACTCAACCACCTGGGTTTGCACATGCAGCACCAGTACTAAGGCTATGGGCCTCAATGATTTGATCTCCCTTTGAGATCAAAGGATACCCATTCCCTGCTATGGAAGTAAGTAATGGAGTTCACTGGCTTAGTGGTTCATCCTGGGAGCTGACATAAGAGCCAGGAACATTTTGTTATGGCTTTATCATGTCATTTACTGAGCTGAAGGCAGCCAACACTTACCAACTTCCTTCCCTCCCCTACTTCTTTTTCCTGTTCCCTGCTTTGGGTTAATTAGGATCCCAGGCAAGGCATTACCTCACTGCCCTCTGCTTTGAATTAAACTTATGCAATTAGATTCTATATCATGCAGGCTCAGCGTTCCTTAAAAACTGCTTAGCTCGCCATCAGTATCAGCATAGGCTTTCTTTTGGTAGTTTCTGGATAACATCCACTACCTTGTGTGAGAAAATAATCCCGACCACCCCTATCCTTAAATGCCTACTTGCTATCACTTCCTTTCTTAAAAGCAGTTTGTAATAGTGTATTTGTTTCCAGTGTATAGCTTAAGCATTGTCAATATGGAGTTGAAAGGAACAATCGAAGATAAATCACAGAAGGACTGGGAGTTGTACCACAAAGTAATATTTCTTTTCAAGGGATAGTGAAACCTGTAATCTGTTAGAGAAGACACTTCATACCTGAATAACTTAAAGACTGATGACCTTCACTTTATTTATTGGTATGATATAGCCTACAAAACTCCAGGATTTCATTCTTCAGGAGGGCTTTGACTTACAAGGCTGTGCATGCCAACACCTTGAGGCTGTGCATGCCAACATCTTGAAACAATAGTAAAAATGCACACATGTATAAATCATTCTGCTTTTTGCAACAAAAATTAATTTATTGAAAGTATAGTTAGTACAATATTTATTTTAATAACTTGCAACATATCAATTTCAAAACTCAACCCATCTTTGTGCAGTAGTTACTATGGTATGTCAGTATGAATTTGCTGTCATATGCAGTTTATTTCGGCAGCATGTGGAAAGTCGTATCAATGATCAAAATGGCCCCCTAGTTTCTCCTGCAATCTCAATCAGTCTCTTACATCATCTAAAGGCAATTTATGTGGTTTGATTACGCTTTTTAGCATACCAGGATTTCTAAAAGCTGGAAGAACACAGATATATATAAAATACCTGCATATCTAGCCAAGGGTAGATCAGTAAATTTTATCCAGACATTATATATAGTTTATCTTCATGCTAGATTGTTAAAACCCAAGATCTCCTGAGCCACATAATAATGTGCTAATTTAATAAATTACTCACATTCAATGAAAGGATATTAATATATATTAAGGGAAAAAAACAAGCATTCAACAGTACTAAGCATGCAGATGCAAACTAAGAAATCAAAATAGACAACTAAACAATCTAAAACCAAACTAGCTAAAGAGTAACTACAAAAAAGTGCACTTCAAAACTTGATACCCTCCTTAAATGTAGTAAACTGAGGGTATTAAAATAATAATTTTAGCTGCAGTGCGACTCTTGAAGTCTCAGATTATATAAATGTAAATTCAAATACTCTGAATGCTTACATTCAAATACTCCGAAACAGGCAATATTTTATTGATACTATTGAAAAGAATAGGTACAAATGATTTCAGACGTGTTGTTTTTATATTCCCTAACATGCATGGTTGGATACTGGCTTTATGATAACATCACTAATTAAGAAAATCTGGTCAATTTCTTTAGATTAAGATTGCAAATCCATAAATATTTTTAAATATTTTCATTTTTAACTTTCATACTGGGTATATTTAGTTTTTTCTTTCTATTTTCAGGAACTCATTGAACCTTTTTTTTCTAGCACAATCAAAACTTGTCTTACCAGACAGGACACAGTAGCCTATGACAGTAATTCTGATTCATTATTTGAAAACATTTACTAATGTAATCTAAAGAACTTATCACAGAGGCAAAATTCTCATTGCATATGCCTGCATTGTGGAATGGATTTAAGTTATATTTTAGGAGTTTAAAACATTCTGATTAACTTAACCTAACACATTAATCAGCCTCATCTATATATTGATTCTGAGAGCAGTTAACATCTTAAGATTTTTGTGTTAACAGCCAGTCAACAGGTGCTGGATTTAGAATAGGCAAACTTTGGTTCATGAGTATTTTAATTTGGCCAAACACGCTTTAAAAGAGCATTTACCATTTTTAGTACCATGCTATAATTCATCCATGTCTTATCCATTTTTCCCCTCAGTGTTTTTTGGGTTCTCCTCTCTGGATTGTAGAACTGCCATTATTCACTTGTTCATATGGCTTATCCTCAGGCTGGACTAGCTCTTGTAAAGTTTTCTCCACCTCAACTGGTCCAGAAGTAAAGGCTGTTTTTGGCAAGGTCATCTGGAGAGCACACCACAGTGTAGTGCGAGCTTTGCGTGTGGCTATGCACATCTCTTTAATAGCCAGTGCAAGAGCAAAAACATCTGAGATGGAGGGAGAGGGAAGACAGTTTATGAATGCTTATGTATTGTTCAAAATCTCTACCACTGAGAAACTACATGATTATTTTCTGTTCACTTCAGTGAACTTTGTGCAAGATGCTTCAATTGCAAGATACCAGAATTGTAAATCTCTCTTTCCCCTACACCAAAGGAATAGAATCCACATGGAACATTGTCTTTGTTCTTTGTCCCATGCTGTCCTTATGGGATCATGTGACAGAAAAATCCCCTCTATGAATAGTGTAGGGTTGTTTCTTCCTGACAGGTGATCAGGCTTACCATGGGTTGTCCCCCACTCAGACCTCCCAGAGGTATTCTAGGGATCTCTGTAACAAAAGTTATCTTGTTTTCTTTCCCTTGTGGCCCTTTTTGCAGTTGTCACAGCTTTCCCCCACCTTTGGGTAAGGAATTCAGTTTTTGTGATCTCTGAACTGACAGCCCCTCCGAAGTGCCCAAGCATGTGTGTGTGTTTTTTTCCTTTTCTGGGTTGGAAGTTCAGGAATATACAATGTCAGCTATCTGAAGTGTGAACTCTTGCCTGATTAATGTTTTGGTAAGTTAAAGCAGTCAGCAGCCATGGATAAAATATTTCATCCAGGCTTGAAATATTTTGCTTTCACTTGAAAGCTGAGATCTTTACTTGCAAAAGCGGGTGGCAAGTATATCACCCAATTCTCAGCAAGATCATCTTGACAGTCCAGAGTGTTCTTTAGCTTTTCCATCTAGGAAAAGCTAAAGAAAGAGCATCTAGGAGCTTAGAAAAGTGGAAAAGTGCAACCCACCCCTCCTACTGGAGTACTTCCTTTTGACAGCTTTC